TTTGTGTTGTGTCTTAATCTAACACCATACAGGGTGACGGAGGAAGTCACTGCAAAGCTGTTAAAAAGTGCCTATCATAACATCGAGAGGGACGGAATTCTAGCCACCAGGCTGTGCACACACAAGGATGACGTGGAGCTCACGAATGAGAACAAACTCCAGCAGCTGCCAGGTCTGAATTCTTCCATCCAATCATAGTTTTTTTTTTTTTCATCTTGAAATAGGTGTCACTTCATGTTGCTTGGCACCAGGTGAAAATGGGCTACACTTTAATCCAGGGCATATACCATGTGTAGCAACTGTTTCCTGTTCTACCTTCTATGCTGGACGCCATTTGTTCACTGACTCCAGTTATTTCCAGTTCTGGAGGTTGTGTTTTTTTTCTGTGTTTCTTTATTTGTTAGTTTACAGGATTAAACAAAAACAAGCAACTAACTTCCATGAAGTGTTGGGGAGGGGTGAGGCGTGACCAAAGGAAGAGCCCATAAAATTTTGGAGTCCGGGTCCAGGATTTTTTTTGTCTTTCTTTAATATTGTGAGACGTGTGATATTTTTGTTGATATCTCAGACAGTAATTTGTGGATCTTGATGGGAAAAAAATTACACAATTATAGGGCACAGATTTTTATGGGTCAGAGTAATTTGTTGAAGATCCAAATTAAAATCCATATCTAGTGAATTTAAATGTGGTTTCATGAAGGGACTGCTGGGCCATTGTGGAGGTTTGTGCTCTTCTATTTCACTCTTATTTTGAAAAATATTATAATTGTATCAGGAAAGACTCTGGCCAATATGTGTGGCCCAGTGTTGCAGCAATTACAATCTTTAAACAGTTTTCTGGGCGTTTAATCCAAACTTTAAGAACATTTGGGTATTTTTAGGTTCTTCACATGATCATTAGTCTGTACCCCATGATATTATGTTTATTAAGCGGTCTACATTCACCATAGTGTCACCACCGGTCTGTTGAATGAATTTCTATCCATCCCTCAGGTTCAGTGCGTGTGTTTGAGGCAATCGACAGTGATCCAGACCTGGTGAAGAATATAGACCTTCACAGCCCAGTCAGCAGACTCATCCAACTCAAAGTGGGAGCTCAGGTTTGGCCATAATCTGTAAAATAATCTGTACCCACTAATGTATAATACTATACATGATAATACTATATATGATTTTCTTTTTAGGTTATGCTGACAAAGAACCTGGATGTCACTCGAGGTTTGGTGAATGGAGCAAGAGGGGTGGTTGTGGCTTTTGAGTCTGGAAAACATGGTCAGTAATTATCTAATTAATTAATTTAACTCTGCAAGAAGTCATTACAGAGGATTACTTAAAGGAATGATTTGACATTCTGAGGTTCACTTATATATATTGCTACCTCCTAGATTTTGAACTAAACCATTATGTCATTTGTTTAATCCATATGCTCAATCAGAACATAAACACAATAGATAATAATGACTTTAAAAACATGTAGAGAACCAGGCTAGCTGTTTCCCTGTGTTTTCAGTCTTTATGCTAAGTTTACTGTTTCCTGACTCAAGATGTAGTGTACAAACACTAGAGAAATATATTTATCATTTATCGCAGTTCAAGCAGTCTTTTGCGATACGCATATGGCGCATGATGATATCGCGAAGACTAAAAACACTTTTTGACATTTTGTTTGAGTGATTGTAGCACGTACTCCACCTCAACAGCCATTTTTCCTCACACCAGTGTTGCTGTGTGAACAGTGTTATCTGTTAATCACGATCTTGTCCACTCCCCCCCCCCAGAAATCTGTCTTAATTTTAACACCTACACTTTAGAGCTGCCTCGTCACTGTCTCCTTCCATTCACACGATAAAAACCATTGGAAAATTGTTAATTGCTTCATAGTTCAATGTCTTTTATGTGGAATGTCAGGTTAGAAAGAACGGAATAGAAAAAATATTTTTACCGCTGTAAGTGTCATTGTACTGACTCACTTCTTTTTCCACAGGACTCCCACGTGTGCGTTTCCTGTGCGGCGTTACAGAGGTGCTTAAACAAGAGCGCTGGGTTTTTAAGTCCAGCGGTGGGATCCACCTGAGTCGACAGCAGCTGCCACTCAAACTGGCCTGGGCCATCTCCATCCACAAGAGCCAGGTGGGTACAGGTTGAGTCCCAGTCATACAGTAAATACAGAGAGAAAACTGCTCATCACTACGACAACCTTACCGAGCCTTTGAGGAGGATGTTGCCATGGAGCACCAGGGTTGTGTAGTGTGATTCTATTGAAAGAATGACTCACTTGATTAATTTGTTTTTTAAATGAATTGGCCCGTAACTAATTTATTTGTCTTTTGTACAGTGTTTGTAATCACGGCCAGGCAGCTAAAAATGGCAGATGGTTTGATTGCTGTGTCTGAGCACGATCAGTCTTGTTCAGACTTTGCTTGTCGAGCCGGGTTAAGATCAACAGTGAAGGGGAAATGAGAGGTCAGAAATGTAGACTGTGATCAGATAAAGATAATCTGATCTCCTCCTGACAAATGTAGTTATAGTCTGTTTTCAATAACTAATTTCTAAGAGCAGCACAGTAGTAGGAACAGGAAACCTAAAAGCATTAGGTCACTGAGACACCAACAGTGTGGAGATGGTGGTGTCTGTTGGTCCACCTCTGTACAACAGCTGCTGAATGAACTATAAAAACTACTGCGTACAGACATTCATGGCTTCCAGATGATGTATTATCACAACTACTTTAGTTTCCGGACATTTCCAGCAGGAGGCTGACTATTCATTTTAAGTGAGAGGTCTCATCGATTCAGTGAATTGCCATTAAATTTGGAACAGACGTCCATGTTCCCCACAAGGTGACTTGTAATAACTTTCATCATTCTGTAATATGATTACCGAAACTCAGACGAGTTAGATGAGTCCAGAGCTGTTTTTGGACATGAACTCTGGGTCTGACGTGCTCACAACAGGAAAATGTCCAGGACATTCGGACGAGGGGCAGGACATGAAGTGTAGTCTCTGCTTCTTAAATCGCATTTTTTTTGTTAACAGCGCATCAACAATCCTTAATCACAGAAAGCTCTTGAATCCGGTTGTTTTCAATTCAACTTCTGTCTGTTTCTTCTACGTGTATGGAAACTGTCATTGTCCTGAGATATTTGTATTCTTTTTTTGTTTTCAGTTTTGTGCTTAGCTCGTACATATTACCAAGGGCCTGGCAAGAAAAGTTCTGGAAAATGTCCAAAGCAACTGACTCAGGCGTTTTCATTCTCACAAACAACCCCATCAGAAAAAGACTTCAGTGCATGTCTGAAAGCACTTAAGGAGTAACATTGCTAAGTGATGAGGGACATTGCTACAGAGGCCCTGATAACTTACACAGTACTGTTCCCCCTACATGAGCTGCAACTGCATCGTCACCAGTCTCACCAGTAGCTCCTTCTCTGATCTCACAGCAGAATCAATGATCCTGGCCTCACATTCTGAAATTGGTTATAGAGGAGAGTAAAGGGGGCCCTGCGGGTAACTGAGTTCATTGGTCACAGCCAATGTGTCTCAAGTGTTTGATCTGCAGCAGAGGAGCCGATGCACAGAGACATTACACAGGTTTTAACTTCAAACTCATACATGTGCTACCTGCATCACACAATACTACTACCACAAGTATTTATGAATACAAATAAATGATTAACATGGATGACAAAATACCAATGAATTCTTGGTTTTTAAATAATTTTCCATGTTTATTTGTTTTGGTCTATGAACAAGTCTCCTGTCATTTCAGGGAATGACACTGGACTGTGTAGAAATCTCTCTGGCACGTGTGTTTGAGAGCGGCCAGGCGTATGTGGCGTTGTCCCGGGCTCGGAGCCTGGAGGGTCTGAGGGTCATGGACTTTGACCCCCGTGTGGTACGTGCGGATCCAGATGTTCTCATCTTCTACAAGAAGCTGAGGAAGGAGAGGCTGCTCATGCAGGTTACTGCAGTTGCTCAAATTTGCAACTAAACTCTACATGGATAGATGATAATATTTTAAAAAAGCAATAACTCTAACCTTACACCTCATTTTAAAATTGTAGCAGTTGCATTACATGGAAGATCTAAATTTTATAAAATTACTGTCTCCTCTGTCTACAGGCCTCCATGGATGATTTTATTGACAACAACAAAGAAAACTCTTGGTGAAAAAGAGAGCTCCTCATCGTCTCTAATATTGTGCACTGTGTGCATGAGCTTATCAATCTTCTGGTGATATTATGGTTTTTAATTGTCCACAGTCAAAGATGTTCACATCTACATTACTGATGGTTTTAACTTGAAGTCACACTGCCACCATGTGTTCAGTACTGACACTTTTGTTTTTAAATAACTTATTTTTATAATGCCTTGATTTTTAACTTATGATTTTTGGAAACAAATAAATTTTTTGTCAACATAACTGTATTTTTTTTATCATTGACTCTGGGTTTATTCAATTGATGGGAACAAAATATGAATATTATTCTGAGCTTTGCAGGTGCTGGAAAGTAAAATGTATTCCGTCCATAAATGATCATTTTAAATGGTCAAGTTAACATCCAATCAGTGTGAGGGCCTTTTTGTGCTGCACCTCATGTGATTAGATGTGATACTCTGTCTTGTGGTCTCAACATCTTTAGTGTATGTTATTCAGGTCAAGTGAAAGTTGGCCAAGTATTTTATACAAATCTCTTGACGGTGCTGGAAAAAATATGAATAGTTTTAAAATAATAATTTCAAGGTTATTCTCATTTAGAAATACTAAATCTGTTAAATAAACCTGACGCTAAATTCATGATAGGATTAACTTTAGAATCAGGATATTGTTTTAAATGCCATAACATGTATCGTGATTATTCTGATAATTTCGTCTATCAACCTAACATTTTTTTTTCACATATAAAATGCAGCCTTACAGTAGCTCTGTAAACTAAAATCTTCAGTCAATCACCTCACCACAGATGTGTGGAGAACTACACAGAAGAGCAACCAGGACAAACTGGAAACCAACAAACACCTTTTTATTTTCTAGATCAGAACAAATTATGACCTGAGGTAAACCCCATTACCGGAGCAACAAATGTACTTTTGCATATGAAGCTACTACATTATGGGTGATGATTCAACACCTTTTAAAACATGTGTCCATCATCCATACAAGCAGCGATTCATAACTTACTAACAGTTTCTGACACTGTCTGGAAATCTGCACAATCTATAGAAAATGTGACATGTCTTTATTCTAGGAACCCAAGAAAACTAATTTACATTAATACACAGGAGAACAACAGACTTCAGAGCTGGATTATTTTACAATTTGAGCAGATAAATAGTTTCTGGGAGTGGGCAGGCAGGTCATTTCACGTTGTGGAACAGCTTGTGTGCTACCTGTAATGACAAAAGAAGAACAGTTCACATTATCACTGGTATACAAGTGCAGCACAGATTGAGCTCATCAAGAACATCTGCACTCTGGTCTTTCATGTCTTAATAAAGAGTGGCACTTAATTGTTCTTTTCCTTCATGTCCCCCCCTCACTTACACAATGGTCCCGTGCATGCAGGAAGTCAAAGAGCTCTTCTGTGCACTCCTCCACAGTGTTGGACCTGGAGCTGACCCGTGCTTCGCAGATCTCCAAACGCTCCTTGTAGTGCACACAGTGTTCAGTCTGCTCGCACTTGGCTCGTATCGTTTCTAAAGGGTCCTGAGATGGACAAAAGAGAAATGTGGTGGATATTATATATCGAGGGAAATTAGGCCGCGACTTCAACACACTCTTTAGTTTGCGCTGCTGATTGCAAAGGGGATTCAGGAATCATACAATGTACGGTACAAATTCTATTTAGTCCCATGGTAGTATACAAATATAACTGTGTTAAAAATAAAATGTATTGATAAGTTATACATTTATCTGTGTACGAGTCTACTCAAGTTCAGAGTTTTTCCTTAGGGAGCATTGTGTGTATGATGAAAAGTTAATTTTCATTCACAATGAAGCTTAATGAAATACACGAAAAACAAACCTACCACCATGTCTTCCTCTTCTTCCTCCTCTTCTTCTTCTTCCTCTTCCTCTGCGGGTGCATCTTCCTCCTGTTCAGTAACAACAGATAAAAAGATGTTTAGTTAGTTTGATGTAAAAATTCGAATTTAATGAAGCAGCTAAAATGACAGTCATAATACAACATGTGTTGAACAGATAGATAATGAAAACCCAGAGTTACAGAAACTATTCAGTGACTTGATATATGCAACAGAAGGGGGCGCTCTAGAGCAGTCATCATAAAAACGAGCCCTCTACATCTGGTGACTGAAAACTAGTAGAAATGTATTTTACCTTTTCACTGATCGTCTAAATTTTAATCTTCACATTTAACTGAACTTCTTCCACAGAGCTGACACCGAGCTGACGCAGAGTCGGACCGACGCTACTGCTGTTGTGTAACACACTTTGAAAAATGGCGATTTAAAGGACATGAAGCGGTGTTTTCATTACCTCGTCGTCGGGGTCGTCGTACGTGATCATCTTCCTCTCGAACACCATGACTGCTGCTCTAGAATCCACACAGAGGACAGGAACTGGAGCCGAGGAGCTGCGCTGCTGCTGCTGGATGAGGACGTGAGGTCGGTGCGTCGGTCACTCATAGGATATGACGACAGGAACACCGGAAGTATCCTCCCATTGGTGGATAAAGGTTCCTGACGCAGCTCTAGGCCAATCATCAACTTGGTTTTTGTGTAAGGCCCACCCCCTAGTGAAAGTTCATGCGTGGGGAACTTTAGTTTTGGGCTGCGGAGCGGAGTCGGACCCAAATCAGTGTCGCACAACATAATGGCGCTGCTCATGGACACCAGACTGCTGCTGAGGAAAGTGAGAGATCTGAGGAGTTTAACGCCGAGAAGACACCGAGTCAAAGAGAAATGGGTAAGTTGTTAACACAGCGGATGAAACAGCGATTACACCATATTTTTTTTATCTCTTAATTATTGTTAGCCACATAGCTACATGAAGTAAATCTCCACCAAAGGTCCTTTTGGCAGTACCGCTGCACTGTGTCGACCCCTGCAGCTAAATATAACAGATGACACAAGTTGTTCATGAAATAGTCAAGTAGATGACATAAAGTAACTTTGTCATGTTTCTGCTGTTTCCCTGATATAATGTGTTTACTGTTTTGTTCGTATTTGAGAATATACATCGAACCGTGCTCTAAGTGTTTAACAAAAGAGAATATCGAAACACTACTGGGCAATATAATCACTTCAGTAATTTTCGAAAGATAATATTCATACATTTGCAAACACATATTAGTCTAAGTTATTGAATTTTCCCTAGCTGCATGAATGGAATCATAAACCCAAGAAATAATACCCTAATTCATCTTGACTCCAGTGGAATTTACACGACTTAATGTGGTTAATCTACATTAAAATGACTTTATTTAAACTATTTCCTTAAAGATTATTTATATTATTTATCAAACTGACGACAGTAAGAATTGGGACTCGGCCTTAAAACAGTATCAATACTTATCACAATATAAGTTTCATCATGCCAACATAACTAAGGTTAAATATATATTGATATAATGCCTTTGATTTTGTTGTTGTTTTTTGTCAAGTTTTTGTAATTCTCTGCTCTTAAAGAAGAATTTAAACCTATAACCTTTACTTAGGAGCAAAATCAGTCTTTAAACTTTAAATCAATAATAATGTGGCATTTATTGTGAGAATTCTTGATATTAATCGATACATTTTTTATTTTAAATTAAATTTTGGCCATGTCATCCAGCCCTTAAACAAAATCATTTAAAATCAATGTTTTGGCCTCCTTCATTTTTTAACAGGCGGCTACACGTGCCAAGTACCCACCTACTGCTTTAGCCCTGCAGCACTTTGATGCTACCTACAGTGTCCAGCTGGGGCAGCTGTGGCCATCGATCCGAGTGGCCTTGCTGTCAGAGAGGAAATACGGAGCCCTGCTCAACAATTTCTCCCATGATGACGCCCTGGCAGACCTACAAGCAAAGGGATGCAGAGACTTCATCAACGACACAGATTCAGAGGGTAGGTGCGTATTGCCAGAGTTCTCAGTAAACCTGCCATTAGTTAAAGAGAGTTTTAAGAAGTTTTGTGATTTCAGATTTTGCTACTGAGAGTTTAGAAATCTTTCAGATCAAGATCAGCAATCATTTAAGATTGAATTTGTGAAAAGGAATTTTATGTCATAATTCACATGACGTGAAGTCTAAAATTGTTGAATCTATTTTGTCTGAAACTTGGATGATATGTTATTTTACACTATAATTTCATCCTGATTTATAATCTAAACCTTATTATCTCAATGTGATATCTATCTATCTATCTGTCTATTTATCTGTGAATGGTCTATGTAACTAAAGACTCTTCCCTAAAAGCCTCAAGGTTGAAGTCCAGACAGTATTATATTTTACATTACATATTATTATAATATATATATTTAACTTCTATATTCTTAATCATTTGCAGCTCAGCTATGCTCGGATGACAAATCTGAGATTTGTGTGGAGGAGGAACCACATAATGTTCCTGTGAAGATATCTGATGTTGATGATCAGCAGCTGTCTCCGCTGAAGCTTAGTCCTAACATCAAGTGTGCAGTGTTTCCAAGAGGAGATATCACAAGATTCAAACCTGCCAGGTGAGCTCATTCAACTTATTGCCCAAACATTTGGATTGAAGTTTTGATATGACTACTGAAATGGAAAGAGTTTTTTTTCCCAGTTTAATACATTTGCAAATTTTTCTAGAATTCAGTTTTTGCTTTGTCATTAGAGGGAATTTAGAATATATTGACAGGAAAAATATAAGAAAAATTTGGTTTTAAAAACCATTATGTGTTTTGGCCTGGCTGTTTCTTTCGTTTTAAGAGACTGTTTCTGTCAGTAATCAGAAAACATTGTTGACATTAGACCTTCTGTTTCTATTATTTTAAAAGTCTGGTAGTTTGTAACTTAACTAAGTGTTTCTTTGTTCATTTATATATACATTTAAAAGGAGCCGTTAAATGAACATTTGAGAACCATGTTATCTTCCAAAATTGACTCTCAGTTCTTTCTTGTTCTCTTAAGACCAGACATAGAACGGTTGCTGGGTTACTACCTGATGGACGCAGCTTCAGTGCTGCCTTGTCTTGCACTGGATGTTCAAGAAGGTCACAATGTGCTTGACCTCTGTGCTGCTCCAGGGGGCAAGACTCTCACTTTACTTCAGACGCAGGCGATCAGTAAGTGGAGTGATCACCCCTGCCTGTTCTCCTTCTGTCAGTCGTAGTTCTGTTGCTCTGTCAGTGAATTGTTGCTAACCATTCCTGTTTCTGTTTATTGAAAAGGGTTTTTGTGTGTAAATGACTCCTCTGCGTCTCGGACATTACGACTGAGAAAGGTCCTACACAGCTACATTCCTAAGCACTTCTTTACAGAAAACAACCTACGCATCACCTCCTTTGATGGATCCAAGTGGAGAGAAATCGAGAGGAACACTTTTGACAGAGTAAGACTCAGACACATAATCATGTTTATCCTTTTTCAAAAAAAATTACAGATAGGCAGTACCAAATAATCACTACTATTTCCAAATACTTCAACTTTGTCCACACCCTCCTTTCCTGTATGTGTCCAGGTCCTTGTTGACGTTCCCTGCACCACAGACAGACATTCACTAATGGAAGACGACAATAATATATTCAATAAGACCAGGACTGGAGAGAGACGGAGGCTGCCACAGGTACAGCTGGAGCTGCTGCTGTAAGTATTTGTGTTACTACAGTTTATGAGATTACATTTAGCTGCTATGACGACTTAATTTCCCTCCGGGGATGAATAAAGTACTCTATCTATCTAGTCTCAATACAGTTAAGGATTCTACTTTAAAGCTTAAAGTGAACATGATGAATAACTCTGCTATCTCCTCTGAAGGGCGGGAATCGAAGCAGCATGTCCAGGTGGGGAGATCATGTACTCCACCTGTACGCTCTCTCAGATCCAGAACCTGAGTGTGGTGGAACAAGCCATTCACTTGGCTCGAGAGAATCAAGGCATCAGCGTTGAGGTCAGTCAGACAAACTGTCAGTATCAAAAACTGTAAACTAGAGATGCATCTCCCACACAGAGTAGCCATAGAATCTTAATGGGAAAGTGACTCCTGATAAGCACACACGTGTATACATATGCGTAGTTTTCCAGTATTCCGCAGCAGCATTATTGTTGCAACTGTCTCATGAAAGTTTTTTAATATTGTACATTTATAATGTTTGCTGCCCATTGTGTAATTTACTGAGGCTTGATTCCTCTGCAGCTGCCACAGACTCGATTCCAACCCGCTCCTTTGCTCCATGTCTTTGCCATTCTCTTTCACCTTTTCACGCTTGCAATCTGTCCTGTCTTCAAAGAAAACATCTTTAAAAAAAGGGTCTCAAATATTTCTTTCAGAAAAAGTGCAAGCAACAAAAATTATTTTCAAAAATCAGTCAGTCTGAAACCTCCAGTGAGGAGATGGAAGACTTGTGCAACATGACAAACTGAAAAAAGTGAAGAGGTCTCAATACTTTCCAAATAATTTACTGGACATAAAGTCCTGAAAATGAAATATTGTGGGCAGAACCATAAACAGACAAAATCTGAGTGTATCTGAACTTTATGTTGATCCAACTCAACCCAATCAATCCTTCAAGACTCTCGGAGCACTTCCGCTGCAGCTGTTCTTTTTGCAGTTACATATTTGAATGTGTTTTTCTTTTCGTTGCATTCTTTAATTTGGAGTTCCTCTTAATATTTAATATAATATTTACACTTTCTCTCTTGTATGTGCTTTGTTCTTGCTGTGACTGTAGGAATTCCCTGATTATGAAAACAGAACCCAAAATCACACGGACTCTTTTGACCTTTTTGTTTCCTCTTTTCCACCCCTCTCCCCATCATGTCCACCTCCAGGTCGTCGATCTGCGACCCCTCACACACATGTTTAGGAAAACCTTTCACTTCGCCCCCGACCTCCACTTGGGTGAGATGGTTGTCCCACATTTAGCTGCTAACTTTGGGCCTATTTACATGTGCAAGCTAAGGAGGCTGACATAGAGGAACTGATTTGCCTCAAAGCCTGTGGACTCGTCAGCTCTCGGGTACTGAGCAACAAAGCTGCCCGATTAATCTTTTCATCACTTCACTGAAGCACATTTGGCTGCTGACTTGTTCCAACATCGGAATGAGTAAAGTCTCCAGTTGACAGACAGTGGACGCACTGGACAGCTCTGAACTTTTTGTTCTGGACATCTTTGGAGACTTATAAACCAAGAGGAATGACAACTTTCACTTTTGGAGTCCTTGAATTGGGATTTGAGTCAAGTTTTCAACACAATGGAAAATAGATGAGGATTGGAACCACCACTGTAGCATGTATTCTACTTGCAGTTTTATTTTTGTCCCATAGATGGCAACAGTAACTAAAGAGTGAAGGTGTCCTCTATACTTTTTGCCCACTAGAGGGCACTAAGCACATATATCTGTAGAGGTTCCAGGAACTCCACTACATGTGTATACATGTGTATATCAGTTCATGGAATCACATTAGTGAAACTCACATTTCTGTCAGAATTTCCTTCTCTCTTTAAGTCTCCAGAGAAAATGACATTCCATGGTAATTCATCAGGTTTGATGGCTTTGCCTGATAAAGTAATATTGGGCTGCGTGGAAGGAAGGCGTAATGAACACACAGGTAATGACGTATTTGACCATTTGGTATCTCACATCTGAATCTGTGCAAGTTTCATTATTACAGCTGGATTGACTCCGTTTTGCATCGACATCAGCCAGAGGTGAAGCGTTTCCTCTTATCAACCTAATGTGAGTGTAGAGGTGCCTCTTTCTCCATCACACCGCCGATGACCCTTTATGTTGTCCTGCCCGAGCAATGTTGCGTGAAAAAGGTGTGTGTGTGTGTGTGTGTGTGTGTGTGTGTGTG